GTAGGGAAATAGCAGACACACAACTGCTGGTGCCGTGCTTCATCAAACCTAAGACACTAGGATTGCAAGACAACATCACAGTGATTTATGTAGAACCAACAAAAACAGCCAGCTGGAATGAATCCTGATTTCAGGGACAGAAAAATGTAGGGGAAAGTGTATTTTAGATTAGGTGAATTATAGTATACAAATGTAAATTACAATAACTGAAATAGAAAATTTATCTTTGTTGGTCTAGATTCTAAGTTCTTTTTTTTTTTTTTTTTTTTTTTTTTTTTTTTTTAAGAGAGATTTTTGCTATAGGACATGTGCGCTCACTGGAGAGACAGAGATAAGAGACAGAAAGCAAGAAATCATTCCCCCAGGGGCGGGGGAATGGCCATGCCACAATCCCTTTTCCATTCTCCCTTCTGGATTTTGGGCACACACACATGCCAGGTGTGAGTTTTGTTGCCAGGTCCAGGGCTCCAACCACAGTTGCTTGTGGGAGTCCAGCAATGTAACCATTACGCCATCTGCTGGTCCCGAGAAGCTACATTCTAATAAAGCACCATAGAAGCTTCACAGTGGAAAAGTATTAACAGTGGAAAAGCACTAATATGTTTATGTTGTAATAGTAAACTTGACTCTGATGTTTTTATTTTTAAAAGTGTTTAAAATTATTTGATCGGGGCTGGCAGGTGGCATGGTGGATAAGGGCGTTGGACTCCCACATGGCTGACTATGGTTTGAGTCCCGGACCTGGCGGTTTGCTTTCTCTCTTTATCTCTTTCTCTTTCTCTCACTCTGTACCTCTCTAGTCAAATTAAATAAATAAAGTTAAATAAAATAATTCTTTAAAAAATAAAAAATAAAATGATTTGATTGACATTCTAACTGCACACCACTCTAAACTCTAAGGTCTGGAAATGCTTGTAATGGCAGACCTTTAGTCTTGCCCTTAGCTGCTCTGGTGGTTTTTCAGAGGTCCCATTTAACCACGTCTACTCTTGGATCACTGGTTGGGTATTCCAGGGTTTCTAAGTGGTCTTATACCAGTACACTTGATTTTCAGCCTCGGCCATGTCCAGCGACCACTTGCTGTTGTAGATAGGATTTAGCTCAATGTCCCCCTCACCCTGTCACTGTTGTCCACAGTAACGGCACTATTTTCATTTCTTCCTTCATGACTGTTCTCCATTTTAAAACCCCATATACAAAAATAAATAAATAAATAAATAATAATAAATAAACAAAAAGATTTAAAAAAGAAAAGAAAAGAAACCCATATACAAACATCCGTGTATTATTTGGTCAACTTGACTGTCTCCTGTCTCCTGGTTCCCCATCTTAAAAGATGAGGCTATCCACCTTCTGCCCTTTGTGTCTTGACCCTCTCTCCTTCCTAGCTTTGACCAGTCCTTCTCTGTTGTGCCTTTCCATTATATGATCAGGACAGATGACAGCAGTGTTCCATCTGTGATTATAATTCAGACTTCTGTGCTTTATAGGTCCTTGAAAATTTTTTATTCATTTTTCCCATGAGTGAGAGGTACAGAGACAAACACAGAGTACCCTCAACAGTGTCTCCATGCTGTAGTCCTCTCCCTGCCTCAGCCAGCCGTGGATCACAGGTGTCCACCCAGAGAGGTCTGTGGACACAAACCCACAACCTAGCCGTATGGGCCCGCCTCGTAGAGCATTGCATGCCACCACACCACTGTCTGGCCCCCTCTGTAGGTGAGTTTTAAAGTAGACTGACACCGATTCAGTCGCTCTGACTGGCCCGTCTGCCTCGTTGCTGAGCCAAGGCCTGTGCAGCGACTGCGTTTCTTCTGTTCTGCTCACGCTCCCCACTGGGAGGGGGGGTGTTGTTAATGTCTGGCCAAGCGGGCCCTTCCTTCAGGTGCCCGGACCGCGCCATGTTAGGCTTGCTTCATTCTTTGCATGGTGTCCCGTGCAGGGTCCCTCCTGCCTCCCATGTTTCTGAAAGTTCGACTGCTTTTTTCTTGTCCTCATTGCCAGCTTCTTCTTATTTCTATTTAGAACCGTGTCTGTTTTTAAAGATACTCTGCTTAGAGCTTATTTATTGCCTGATCTACCCTGGACTGATTGCTTTCCAGGTACCAAGACCGTACTGGCCACATGAGCTAACTCCACCCTCTCCTGAGCCTCACATCCTCCTCTCGTGGTTGTCACCCTCACTTTGCTGGTACGTTTTATGACAGGTGTGCTGGAGGTCACCTTCCAGAATCCCTTAGCATGGTTAAGAACTCTTGTCCTTCGTTTTGTTGTTAGCTTTGCCTTGGAATCTGGTTCTGGGCTCAAAATCATTTCCCCTCAGAATTTGGAAGACTGCTCCAGGCCTTCAAGCATCCACTGGTGACACGCGGACTGGCTCCGTGCTGACGGCCATTCCTCTGCAGCAGCTCTGCCTGTCCTCTCCCCGGTCAGCCAGGACCTCCTCTTCATGTTGGGGTGTCTGAAATGACATAATAGTGGATCTAAATTGTGTCTCTAATTTCAACGAAGCTGCATCTCTCCTCAATTCTAGAAGATGTATTTTGAAATTTCTTTAAATTTTTTTTATTTATTTATTTTTTATTTTTTATTTATTTATTTTTTTTATGAGAGGTGCTTTTGACAGGTGTTACCCTGACATTGCAATCATCTTGCCCCAGCTTCCTGGCCAGCTTAGACCACAGGTACATGCCATGGAGCCCACTCTGTCCAGGCTGTGCCAGGGCCCCCATGGCCTCTCATGAAGCCACACACAAGCACCCTGCCGCTTGTGCCACAGTGGCTGGGCTAGACATTGTTTTGATTATTTATGCATGCTTGTTCTTTCTTTCCAGAACTTCTGTTACCAGCTTTGGGGCCTCCTAAAATCTCCACCTCATCGTTCTCCGTACTGTCCATCTTTATTCTCTCCCTCCTGTCT